GTTGTCTGTCTGCAAGAGTGGTTAAATAGAGGCAAGAGCTACCATGTGGAAAAGATGGTAAACAATAAAGTCATTCAAAGAACGTAAGTCCAGGATAGGTTGAAGGCTGGAATCCCTTTTTGGAACAATAAAATAACAAGAGAAAAAGCAGTGATGGGCCCAAACGGGGTCCACAGGCTCGATCGCGCCCTTTTGTAGCAAGGTCGCACTTCATCGAGTAGGGTGTCTGAGGGGGTGGTGAAAAGTACAGCCCCGGTGGTCAGGAGCTCTTCAAACAATATTAAAGACCCATGAGTCGGAAGTTATTGAGACCCAGGTGTTAAAGAAGGGCCTCAGCCTATCACCAAAAGGAGTGAGGACAAAGTGTACAGCCCCATCTCACAGCCTCTTCTTGCCTTGCTCAGACTTTTTTGCAGTAACCCTGATGGTACCAAGGCTGAGCAGGCTGGCAGCGGCCAGAACAGAAGTAAGATTGTGAGGGGTTGCACTGGTCCTGAGGTTGGTATTGGTGTTCCTGTGGTTGGTAGGGCTCTGTTGGTATGGGGGGTACCAAGGGCAGTTACCTCCATATTGGTGATGTGAAGGGGATTGAAAGGAAACCGAGGACATACCAGAAGTTCACCTTCTCATCTGTCTCTTTATTAAAAAGACTGGAGTTGTCAAAGGGCATGTCCTCAATCAAGGCTCGGGCTTGAAGTGTTAAAGTGTGGAGCCAGATATGTCATTGGAGGGCCACGGACCCAGAAATGACCTTGGAGGCACAGTCGGTGGAGTGGCATGCCAAAATAATTTGTTGCCCCCCAGTCATAATCTGGTGTAATGGAGAAGGAGACCTTGCGTGCTGGAGCTGGTTGGGGTCGACAGATAAAAAGTAATGACCCTGTCAAAACCAAGTGAGGATAGTGGTAAAGCAAATGGTCATGGTGAGACGAAGCAACATCTTCACGGGCAACCTCATCACCCTCGGTACCGAGAGTTGCCTGATCACAGAAGATAGCCTCACCAGTAACTTGGCCTTGAGAGCGCTCAGTGTTGATGCAACCTTTGGTGTCAACACAGCCTGTAAAGACTGGGGTGAGATTTGGAGGGTCTAAGTCACAAATCTCACCCTCTGATTCAGTGTCCGGGCTCCAAGGGGACGTTTGACACCTTCTTGATCCCAGTAGCTAGGACCAACAGTACAAGATTGGAGCCGGGGCTGCAGATGGAGTTTGGGCCTTACTCGGGCATGACACTCAATCACCGGAGCCAAATCTTCAAAAGGGGAGGCAAAATGGGTCCTCTTTGCAGAGTGATCTATCAGTTTATCCTGGGTAGAAGTAGAAGGTTTATCCTCGCCTGGAGATTTTTTTACCACGGGATTCCTCTGCCCTTCTGCCCTCATCAGACTGGTCCTTCTAAGTTCGGGATTTTTTAATCTCCTTGGAGGATTTATCCTTGGACCTCCCCTTTTCTTTTTCCCTTTCTTTCTCCTTACTCGAGGTAGACAGTTGGGCATCATGAGAGCCCTGAGCGGACGAAGCGGATGCAGGCCTCAAAGCCTGTTCATAGAGGGTAGCTTTGAGCCTGAGGTCCAAATTTTTTAGGGCTTGCAAAGTCATAGACCTGCAATGGGGACAAGGCTGAACATTATGGGCTTTGCCCAAACACAAAAGACAGGAGGTTTGCCAATCTTGCCCAGGAATCTTTCTGCTGCATTTATTGCAGCACTTGAAAGAGGCCATTCTCAACCGGAGTTGAAGATAGAAAATCAGAGACAAAATTGAAGTCAAACACAGTCCAAGGTTGAGAAATCAGCAGAGTCTAGTCCCAAATCCAATAGAATAGTCAAAAACAATCCGTTAAGGTCAAAATCAAAAGTACAAGCAATTCTACAGAGCGAAGTTCCTTTTAAGCTGCTAGCATGGCTGACTAAAGAAAATGAGGAAAGAGCAGGAACTCTAGGTCAGGGCTTTATAAGGGTGGGCAGAGCTACCGCCCAAAAGTTGCAAACAAAGTTTTGCCTAGTGATTCCACAAGTTTCCAAAGTTACTGTGCAGGTGCAGGAATAATCCATTTGTGTGATTTGCAGAGACCATGAAGAAGAAAGATAAATTCCAAAAAGCAAAGCTTGATTTTTCATTTTCATACAAGAGACACCAGCTTACTGTGCCATTGTATTTAATGGGACTTGAATGCTCACAAATTTTGGCATCCACAGGGAATCCTGGAACCAAACCCCAGCAAATACCAAGGGCCCACTGCACATTGGAGACCCTTTTGTGAGACACTGAAAACATTGTGTAATTTTATGGTCACACCATGCAGGTAAAAGTCAGATATAGCTGTAGAAGGGCTTGTACATACCAGCCAAAAGGGCTGGACTGGGGATGGAGTTGGGAGCATGACGACCGCATGCCGGCCACCTCGACTCTACCCCGATGCTGCCGTCACGTGCACACTCCAACGCACAGTGTGTGGCATCAGGGCTCTCTCTTGGTGCAGCATTTTGACACACTGCGCCAAAGGAGCACAGAAGATCCGTGGTGGTAGTAAGGATGGCTTTTTGCTGCTCCAAAAGGAGCGACATTTGCTAGCTCTTTTGGGAGTGGCAAAGTGCTGAATCGGGGCCACAGATTGCGGTCCTTGTAGACCCATTTCAAACTGGCTTCAGGACAGGCTTTGGGGTTGAGACTGCCATGGTTGCCATGACCGACGATCTGCGTCTGAGCATCGACAGGGGTAGTGTGACCCTGTTGGTGCTTTTAGACCTCTCAGTGGCTTTTGACACAATAGATCATGGCATCCTCTTGGATAGCCTGAGGGGGTTAGGAGTTGGAGGCACTGCTTTGCAGTGGTTCCGTTCCTTCCTCTCGGGCAGGGTGCTGCTCGGGGACAGTTGCTCTAGCAAAAAAGAGCTCACCTGTGGTGTCCCCCAGGGCGCCATCCTGTCCCCAATGTTATTTAACATCTATATGAAGCTGCTGGGTAAGATTATTTGGAGTTATGGGGCTGGGTGTTATCAGTACGCTGATGACACCCAGATCTATTTCTCCATGTCTTGGTCATCGGCCGTGAATTCCGATGGCATTTCCTCTCTCAATGAATGTCTTTGGGCAATAATAGGCTGGATGAGGAAAAACAGATTGAGACTGAATCCCAGACAAAACAAATGTGTGGTAGCAGCCCTGAAACCAAGAATTGGGTTGCAACCTTCGGTCCTGGATGGGGTCACACTCTCCATAAAGGACTGCGTTTGCAGTCTGGGGGTGCTCCTTGACTTGTCGCTCCTGATGACGAATCATGTAAATGCAGCAGTCAGGAATGATCAGCTTCGGCTGATACGCCAGCTGCGCCCTTTTCTGAAAGTAAAGGACCTTGAGACTGTTGTGTACCTCACATCTAGATTTCTGTAACACGCTCTACATGGGGCTACCCTCGTGCTTGGTCCGGAAACTGCAGTTAGTACAAAATATGGCAGCCAGAGTAGTTTCTGGAACATCTAGAAGGGATCATATTACTCCGGTATTAAAGTCCCTCCACTGGCTGCCTATTAGTTTCCAGACCCAGTACAAGGTGTTGGTTATCACCTTTAAAGCCCAAAATGGCTTGGGTCCAAACTATCATCGGGATTGCCTTCTCCCCTACAATCCTCCCTGCGCACTCCGGTCCTCTGGGAGGAACTTGCTCCAGCCACAAAAAGCTAGGCTATCGGCTACCTCCCAGAGGGCGTTTTCTATACGGAACGGCCTGCCGGATGAGATCCACCTGCTTACATCTTTAGACAGCTTTAAAAAGGCTGTTAAGACATCTTCTGGCAGGCCTTCTCTGATTGGATTCCTGGCCTCTAGAATCCTTAGTATCCTTATTTTGTCTTATCGGTCTAATTTGCCCTTCTTAAATTTATTACTGCTGCCACTGTATGTTGTTTCCATTTGTTTGTATAGTTAATTTGAGTTGTTTAGCTTTTATGTATTTAAATGTTTTAAATTGCCTTTAGTTTAATACTTTTTTTAAGGGGGGGGGTTATTGTCTCAGGATTTTATATGATGTATTTTATTGTTGTTAGCCGCCCCGATTGATCTCAGAGGGGCAGGATATAAATAATAATAATAATAATAATAATAATAATAATAATAATAATAATAATAATAATAATAATAATAAATTACCCCTTAGTCTGGAAAAACAGTATCCAAAGGGATCTGTAGCACCTTTCAGACTAACTTAAAGAAATTTTCACACACTTGAGCCTACTTTCTCAGATGAATACATCTGACATAGACTCCAGTCTATGAAAGCTCAGGCTATCAATTTTTCTCTTTCAGTTAGTCTCAAAGGTGCTACAGATTGCTTTGCATACCATCCAGGTATTTTATATGGTTCTAGTCCACAAATTCCTTGTTTGTTTCTGTCTGTTTGTAAACAGGGGGTTAAGGAGGCACCAGTTTTTCCTCATTGCTTTCTCCTCCTTTTCCCCTCCCCTTGCCAGAGATAAGTACTGCAAGTCCCAGTAGCCCCTATCCAGCAGAGACAATAGAAAGGAATACTGGGGTTCACAGTCTGACAGTCTATAGAACCTGCAGAATCCCTCAGCTCCACTTTAATCCATCAACTCCCATTTCTATTTAGTCACGCTGTCAGAATCCTATGTACAGTATTGCTTAACGACTTTGTGAGCTGTTTTGCTCTTTGGGGTGAAACGTGGATTAAAATATGTATCTTCTCATTGAGGTTAGTTGGCTACTTATTTATCCTTCTGCAAACTCAGTGGGGTGCAGGGAGTGAATGAAAAGAGCATTTTGACACCAGTTTTAAGGTCAGAAAGCTCCTTTCAAGATCACTCAGATAACACACAAAGAGCTTTAATAAATTTTCAAATTAAAACACCAGCATAAAGCTCAGAACCACCTCAATAGTGAATGAAAACACAATCTAAAAATGTAGAATTATAAGCACAGTGGGTAATGGCAGTTGAAAACTCCAACCCAACAAAAATTGATTTGGACAGTAGTATAGAAGTCAGCATGGCGTAGTGGTTTGAGTGTTAAGACTACAACTCTGGAGACCAGGGTTCAATTCCCAGCCCGGCCCTGAAACCCACCAGGCAAGTCACATACTCTCAGCCTCAGAGGAAGACAATGGCAAACCTCTCTGAACAAATCTTGTCAAGAAAACCCTGTGATAGGATCACCCTAGGGTTGCCGTAAGTCGGAAACAACTTGAAGGCACACAACAACAAACAGATACACAGTAATATCAGAGACAAATTACTTGTTTCACTGTTAAGACCTGTATAAGCTATGACAAAATTCCTATGAATCTTCAACTCTGACTTATGGTGACCCTATCATAGAATCTGGTGTATTTGTGTGGGGTCTAATTAGTAAATATCTGCCACAGTTCACATGCTGCACTACTCACATCTTAGCTATTCACATCCCACATGACATCAGAATTGCTCTTACTAGTGCTAGCTTGAAAGCACACCCAGCTTCATGTTCTGTTCCTTATTGTAGCTGGGAATGCGTGTAGTTTGAGAAGGGAATTTCTACTGTTATCTTCCAAAATGTACAGCCCAAAAAGGTGGAAGCGGGGTTGGGCTGGAATGGCTTTTAGGCTGGAGGTTTCCCCACAGGTGATGTAAGTGCCACACACCATATTAGTAGCAATAGGACACCTTCCCATTCCAGCACAGAGGTATTCCCCAAAGTCCCTCTTTTGAGGTTTGAATAAGATAGAAGTTTTCTTTGCAGATCTTCCCACCATATTCTCTGCAATTTATGCAATTCACCATATTATTTCCATGAACAGTTCAATGGAATGTCATTAAGTTGGTTAGCAGGAAAATCAAAATAATTCAACAATTACAAATCCCGTCTCCACATGATGGATCAATGTGGATATTTCCCATTACTACCAGACAAGATTGTAATGCCCTCAGGTGGCTCTGACTTTAAAGACAGTTTGCAAACTTCAGCTAGTACCAAGGATAATTTCAGTTGCAGTTTGGGGACAAAGCAATTGGTGCACATAATGACGCAGTAGTTGCTGACATGTCTTCAAATTTAGTTGGTGCTCGTAGTGACCTCTGAAGCAAGGTGGAGAATCTGCAGCCCTTTAGGAATTAGAATAATAGAATCCTAGAGTTTGAAAAGACCCCAAAAGTCCAGTCCAACTCCCTGCCATGCAGGAATACACAATCTAAGCACCCCTGACAGATGGCCATCCAGCCTCTGTATTGCTGAACTTCAGCTCCCATGAACCCCATGACATGGCCAATGAGGAATCCTGGGAGCTATAGACCACCAAAATTTGTCCCTTTGGGGGGCATGGTTGATCTGGGATCAACATGCAGAAGACTTGTGCCAGGAACAAGATACCACAGAAGAGTCTCTGCTGTGAAGTTCAGTACAGGCTGCAGAGAAAAAAATCATCCCATGCAGAAGCTGTTGGCAAGACAAAAACTGCTGGACTGCTGAGTTCTCACGAAGAGTCTTTTATTCCTGAGTACAGCTATATAAATAAGACTGACAACGTGCTACTCCAGGCTCCTATTTACAATGCAACCCCACTGAGCATTCAGCTCATTCATTTATATACAATATCTTCCCCTCGGATTTGAGTCCAGCCCACTACTGGTACGTCACCCAGTTTCCTGTCACCTGAAAGCCTTGACTCTGCAGAAATGAAGTTTGCTGACTTCATCTCATGGCCTTCTGTCATCAGCTTCCTGTGACTCAGGACTCTTCAAATGATGAGTCATCATGTCTCCCAAGTGAACACAGGTTACCTTTGTTCCTGTTTCATGCCATAGCCATATCTATGACATTTTCTACCTAGAGTATAATTTACTCTGACACCCCGTTTGGGGTATACACTCATAAGTGGTTTTGGAAAAGGTAATTTGTACATACATTGTGGAGACCTGTCATTAAGTTTAACTTGATTGGCCATAAGAGGGCCTTCCTCATGGTAGGCTCACCTTTGTGGGATTATATATTTGGCCATTTCCAATTAATTTTGAACAGGCCTCTAATGACATTTTTTTTAACTTTCTCAGTTCATAACTTGAGAGGAAATAGGGAGATGACAGAGTGCAAGCACATTTTCCATCACCCATAGTGAGGGATGTAAATGAATTTCAGGGTAAACCCTTAGTTTTGAAAACGTTTGTGAAGCAAACATTAGTTGAGCTGGTGAGGGGCAGGACTTGTTCTGAGAAGTTTTTTCCTCATCAAACCCTCAACCTAACTTACTTTAATGTAATATTTCAAATTTTATCTATACAGCATGTGAAGTTTTTTTCCAGATGTAACAGTATACTCATTGAAAAAATCAGTGTTCTCTCCCTAAGAAAGGAGCAGGTAGACTCACTCTGGAAATCGATAGCTTGGATCTCAAGGGAAGTTACTTTGCTGCTGGTACAGGAGCTGAAATTTTATTACCTGGATTTTACTGCCCTTTATCCCCAGTCCCCAGATGGCCAAGAAGGAGAATGGCCTCTGCCTGCCTTGATATTGCTCCAGATCACCATGAATGACAACAGAAGCAACATCTGAGACAAAACATAGAGCTGTGATTCTAACACCCTCACTTATCTTCTTCTGTATGAGTTTCAACATCTTTGCCAAATGGAGAAGCCAGAGTAGCTTTGAAATGCTTTGCATGATGTATTTGTGCTTTTTTAGTTGTTCCAATAAAACTATCACTGTTTTGTGGACTCTGTCATAATATTTCAGTTTGCAAGACCTGAGCAGGGCAGTTGTCTACAAAGGGTGTTTTACACCAAATTCCTCCCAGGCTTACCGCATCATTTACATCAGGGGTAGGCAATCTTTCTGAGCCGGGGGCCGGGTTGCTGTCCCCCAGACAATTGGGGGGCCGAAGCACCAAAAATAAAATAAATAAATAAATAATTTTTTTGAAAATTAAAAAAATATGCATGCACACTCTCTCAGCCCCAGAAAAGCCATGGCAAAACCTCTGTGGAGATTTTGCCAAGAAAACCCCAAGAACCAGTAATAGCAACAATAATCAATATCGTCATGGGGGGCGGCGGGGGCAGCAGCAGGCGGGGGGCGGCAGTAGGACCGGCCTAGGGCCGGTCCAAAGGCCTCAGAGGGCCACATCCAGCCCCCGGGCCTTAGGTTGCCTACCCCTGATTTACATGATGCAGGGCCAAAAAGTCAAATTGGGTCCAGACCATCTTCACAATCCCTGCAACTGATTCAGGGCTTACTCCCCTAATGCTTATTGAAATAATTCACCTTTTGCTTCAAGTTTTTGGCTCTTACGGTGGCTGCCTTTTCACTTGCAGTCCCTGCAAGCTGCTCAGCACAGCTGCTGCAGGTGCGAGTCACTCTGAGGTCAGAATGAGGTGTCCAGTGTTGGCGCGCAAATTTTATCACCAGCAGAAATTGGTGAATAGTTCAGGTCAGCAGGAGTCTAACACTGGTGTTTAGCGAGGGATTTCTTTGAAGAGGAAGGCCATAGTCCTGTTTCAGGGACTAATTAAGACTTCTTAGTATGGACACTGAGGGAACTGCTGCCGTCACCTGCAACACGTGTGGGATGTTCGTCTTCTTGCCAACAGATGTAGGGAACTTCACATGCCTCAAGTGCAAGTTGGTAGAGGCACGGGTAGCTACACTTCAGTATATTAGGGAGCAAGAGGTTTTCCTGGATCAGTCTTGGACAGGTACCACACAGAGGAAGTTGCTGGGAAAGAGGTTACTTCACATACACAGGAGGTAGACAGCTGGAGGAATGTCACACACAGAAGTAGGGAGACCAGGGGTCATTCTGGGAGCTTGCAGCTACAGAATTGATTTCAATCTCTTTCCCTTATCAAGGAGGACAAGGAAGAGCAGCATGGACAGACTTCAGACTTCAGGGACAGAGCAGACAGACTTCAGGGACAGAGCAGGGGATCCTGGGAGTTCCACCATAGGGAACAGTTGCCTAAGCCTCGGAGGAGGCGTGTGGTCGTGGTGGGAGACTCCTTGCTTAGGGGGACAGAAGAAGTGATTTGTGGGCCTGACAAGATGTCTCGGGAGGTGTGTTGTCTCCCTGGGGCAAAGATCTGAGATGTGACAGAGAGGATGACAAGACTGGTCAAGCCTACTGACCAATACCCCTTCCCTTTGGTCCATGTGGGAACAAATGACACAGCAAGACACAGCCTTCAGAACATCAGAAAGGATTACAAGGCTCTGGGTAAGAAGCTGAAAGAAATGAATGCACAGAGTGTCATCTCGTCTCTTCTGCCACTTGAAGGGCATGGCCCAGGACGAGAGAAGAAAATAGCAGACATCAACAACTAGCTCCGCAGATGGTGTCCCCGAGAATGATTTGGATTCTTAGATCATGGGCTGTGGTTCCATGAGGGTAGACTTCTCATGCCAGTTGGATGGGCTGCATGTCACGCATGGGCTGCATGTCACGCATGGGATGCATCTCACGCCAGTTGGAAGAAACGTTTTTGCCAACAGTCTCAAGAATTTGATCAGGAGGGCTTTAAACTGAGTTATGTGGGGAAGGGAGACAGTGTTCTGGAAGACAAAAGGACTGGAAACAATAGTCAAACTGTCATAGAGGGAACAAGGCAAACAGTGCAATGACCCAACAGTGGGAGGGAACAAGCTTGTTTTCTGCTCCTCCAGAGACTAGGATCCGGAACAATAGATGCAAGCTGCAGGAAAGAGATTCCACCTCAACATTAGGAGGACCTTCCTGACAGTAAGGGCTGTTCAACAGTGGAACACACTCCCTCGGAGTGTGGTGGAGTCTCCCTCCTTGGATGTCTTTAAGCAGAGGCTGGATGGCCATCTGACGGGGATGCTTTGATTGGGAGTTCCTGCATGGCAGGGGGTTGGACTGGATGGCCCTTGTGGTCTCTTCCAACTCTATGATTCTATGAATGATATTTGGATTGAGGGATCATATGAAGACGAACCCCAAATTCAAAGAAGTGAAGTGGAATTTGCACTAAAGTAATTGGGGAAAAGATAAATCACCAGGAACAGATGATATCCCAAATGAACTGCTACAGTACCTACAGGCAGATGCAACTTCAGTGCTAACTGAAATAT